AATTTTAAATTATATGAAATAATTTTTAAAATTATAATTTGATTTCTTAAAAAAATTTTGATAAATTTTTAAAAATTTAAAATTAATAAAATCTTTTTTGGACATATATAGCTCGTATTTTTTTAAATTATTTCTAATTTGTATTATTCATGATTTTTTTAGACTTATAGAGGTCATATTTTTTTAAGAATTATGTTATTAAGCTAGTATTTTAATATGATAAATTAAAATTTTGATGGATTATTACTTTCAATTATAACTAGGTTAAGTCATACATAAATTATTACTTATATACAAATACATAAATGGCATTGGGATATTAAAATCGTACAAATGTCATGAGATGCAAATGATAATGTAGACTACTTAGCATATTGCGCACTTGATACTTAGCTTAATATACATATGATATCTACTTCTTCTAATGAGCTCTAATGACTTTTAGACAAGGATTCCATGTAATTCCTCCTAGTATATTAAGTTTCCATTATTATAAAAAAAGAAGTTACTAATAATATTTTTATAACTAATTATTAGTAAGAATAATATCAATAACTATTCAAATCCACCTTGCTATTAGATTCAGGATGATTAGATGTTAACTAGGTTGATCACATATGAGATTTTTATAATTATCATATATTGTAAAACTTATTAGTATTCATTTTCCTAACAAAAATAAAATTTACTAGTAAAAAATAATATTTTATTAAAATTATAATTTAAATATTCATATAAATCATTTTGTCATATTAATAATTGAAAATAAAATATAACATATGTATATCTTTTAATAATATATTATTTGATATATGTGTATGCAGTTACATAACTTATATTTAATTTCGCATGTAATAATTATAAATGCATTTCAGTTCAACTAACAAAGAAGGAAGGACTTAAGGTTTGGAGGTGAGAGAGGTCAAGGGTTCAAATCTTAATTTTGTCATATTTTATAACAAATATGTGATATGGCGCATGAGGTGGCTTGAGGAGGCATACACGTGGCAAGTGACTATCACGAGATGATGGTCTAACACATGAAGTGGCTTGAGAGGTGCACATATGGCGTGTGACATGGCATGAAGTGGTGGGCTGATGTGGCATCATTTATCAAACACGTAGCTTGCGACTAGCAAAAGATGGTAAGTGATGTGGCATTATTTGTCACATATATGACAGATGACGTGGCATTATATGGCAAAGTGATGTGACATAAAATAAATTATTATTTTTTAAAAAAAAGTTTTGGCAGCAACAAATATTGCCACTGAAAGTCTTTTTAATGTATTGCCATAAAAAATACTTTTAGTAACAAAAACCATTAGCGACGACAATATTTGTCACCACCAAAAATTATTAGCTATGATTATTATAACGATAACTTTTTAACGGCAAAAAATCGATGCTAAAACTTTTAATAGCAACTTTTAGACTTTTGGCAGTAATTTTTTGTTATCGCCAAAAATATATTTTTTTGTAGTGAATTTATGTAGTAGTATTTTGTTAGGCTTAAATTTTTTTTTTACAAATTTTTATTTTCTATATAGAATAATTTAAATGTTACATTAATGTTTAAGTTAAGCTATGCTTAAATTTATGATATGCATGTTGAGATTTTTATTTAAGCTGTTTATATTGTTTTAAATAATAAAAAATATGTTGAAATTTTATGCTTAAATATAATAAATTGTAAATATTTTTTATTTTATATAGAAAATGGATAAATCTTGGATATTTATCCTTTGCAACACAAGAGAATATATGAATAGTTTGAAAGGATTTTTAAATTTTATTTTTGCAAATAGTGGTGTTGAGGGTAAAATAATTTGCCATTACCCTAAGTATAATTTTAAAAATGGAATGTTTTAGAGGAGGTTCAGAATCATTTATTTGTTAAACCATTCCATTCTAGATATATATATGTTGGGTTTTACATGGTGAAAAACCCAAATTTAGAGTATCTTCTTCTAATGGTCCAGTTAATGTAAGAAATAGAGAACAAGGCAATGAGGCTAGTGATAATATACATGAATTAGTTTGTGATGCTTTTGGTGTGCAAAAAGAAAATGAAACTTCAATTCAAGTTGAGGATTCATCACAAAATCAAAATTAGAGGATGAATGAAGAGACCAAATAATTTTTTGAATTGGTGTAAGATGGGAAAGATCAATTATAGTGACCATAAATTTTAAATTGAACAAATTTTTTTCCTAATAAATATTTTATTTAAATAAATTTTACAGCAATTAGAAAGGGCCAGTTTATAAGAAAATATGTTAAAAATTTTCACAAAGATCTGGAGTCTAAATTTTTTGAGCAAAAGTTTAGTTTTAAATTATATAAAAATTCTGTGCTATTTTGGAAATTTTATGTACCCTTTCTCCTGATTTTTTCCGTGTTCTTTCTTGTAATTTTTCCAAAAAAAAAAATCCCTATATTAGATTTTCTCTTCGCTGGAATGAAGGAAAAATACAGCATCGCACTTTCTTTTTCCACTGCCCTTATACACTTCTCTAATCTTTATAGTCGGTTCTTTTGTCTAGCTCTTATCAATATCTTTACCTCGCTGTCGACTGAGCATGTTTGTTGATGCTGTTGCTTCAATTATTATCGTCCTCGTTGTTCTCGTTGCCAGCCACTGTGGGAGCTGAGTTGCAGATTCTCTTTCCCTACTATCGCTGCTGTTCTGTGTCATCGTGAGGTGCATAATACTCTACTGCTTTTCTTGCCATCGGTCTGTGTAGTCGTTGCCACCTTTTTTTTTTTTTCTGTTCTAGTTCGTCTGTCACGGTGAGGAAGGAGATTAAAGTTTTTTTGTGGGTTTTCTCGGTAATGTGGTGGCTATTGGCGGTAAGTGGGCAACTAGACTTCGTTTTTCTTATTCCTCACCTGCTGAACGTCCTTGTGTAATGAAAGCTTAAGATCTTTCTTCCTATTTTCTGGTCTATGGTTTCTGCTCCGTCTCTTCTCCTTTTGGAGAGCTGGGTGGAGGCGCTTAGATTAGTCTTTGGGTGGTCCGTGAGTTCTGTGCATGGCAGTTATAGGCGCTCTTTGGTAGAGGTAAAACACTGATTTTTCCTTCTATTCCTTCAATTGCATTAGCAACGTGATTCATTCTCTTTCCTCCACTGCCGAAGGTGGTGCTCTGTTTTCAATATGTAGTAAGGCTAAGGTGTTGTGTTGGTAAAGATTGGATACGATTGGATACTATTATTTTAGTATGCCAGGCTGAAAAAAATTTGGTAAAAACTAGACATTGGAAATTATTGACACTTTCTTGGATGCTTGTCATATAGTTTAGTTAATTATAAATGTTTTTATAACACTTGTAGGGATGATTGAAAGAAGAAATTGATGAAAATAAAATTATTAAATTTTATAGTAGGACCTAGAAGAATTATACAGGCAAATTGAGAAATTATATGTCTTCATGTAATGTGTAACTTGATCTACTTATTGGAATTATGCAATACCTAGAGAGGAATTATTAGATGAAAGAGTAATTACGATTTTGTTAAGTTTAGAATAAGAGTTATGTTGGTGGTTAAAATGAAATATTGCCAAGTATTCTTAAATTACTTGATAAAAGTTATTGGCTGGTTCGATAAGAGTTAAGGGGTTAACAAGAAATTTAAAAGGGTTATTGAAGAGCTTAAATATTAATTTAGAATGATTATTATAGAAAAAAAAATTCATAATGACATAAAATGTTGGTTTACATGATAGATTAATTTGGAGCAACATTGGAGTAAGTAAAAAATTGAGGAAGCCTAAATATAAGGTTTTTGAAACCTTCAAGTGAGTGGGTATCCAAATCAACTTCTGGTAACATGTTTATAAAATTCAATTATTTAAAAAATTATATTTCTTTATAAAATTTTACAAATATTCTTGTTAATCTTATTCTTTCTAATAATTGTTTTGTTTATGAACACATGTCAATCTTACTAAAGATTTATAGTGTTAACAAGCAATGATTGAAGCAAATATATGACAACTTAGTATTTCTCACAAACAGCTTATTATTTAATCCCTACGTTGATATAAATTTTATTGCAATAACTTGTGTATGGAAAAATTAGTAATACATTCAGACAATAGAAAAACGATAGTGGATGTTACTTGTTAGAGAAGATTTTGAATCTATTTTCTTACTCCATGCATGCTTGATTTTTACTAAAGGGGATTGAGTTCAGAATGTTGGAATGTTAATGACAATTTCATTAGCCCTTAGTGTGCCATGGTTCACCTAATTAGCAGGATGTTTGTAGGAAGTGCTAGCTCCGTGTGCGGGTTAACACACGTGGAACGAAGGGATGGATATTTGTGAGCATTGTTCTCACGCTAGATTATTTCGTGGCCTATCCCATGCTTGTTTCATGGCTTCTAACCACACTTGATTATTTCGCGGCCTTAAGTTGCATTTAATTGATTATTTATTTTTATGGATTGTGTGTCCACGTTATTATTCATTCTGATAAATTCTCCTAAATTAAAGTAAAATTTGTTATTCATTTATTAAGTTTCTAAATGTATTTAATTGAATTTCATTATTAATGCAAACGTTTCATATTTTATGATTTATACGTATTTTTAAACAATTAGATGATAGATAGCATTTGTGTAATTTCATAATTATATTATGGATAAAATTTACTAGTCATTATTGATTTAAATTGACGTTTGATTTGTAATAGCCTAAAAAAATTAATAAATTATAAATTAAGGATAAAATATTTTCACTTTTTTAATTAAAATTTTGGATGGTTACAACAACGTGAACTAGTAACTTAGTAGAATTTGTTTTGAGTTTTTAGTTGTCAGTTTTGAGCTCAAATCTAGGGTGTCAAGCAGATATTTTATTTTATTGTAGCATTGTGAAATTACATAAATGCCCATTACCAGATAAAATAATAATAAATCCAATAGATTTTTTCTCTCTCTCTCCTTTTATTCTGTTCGGCTTGTGCGTGTTTTCCATCTGCAGAGAAAGAGATTTGGGATCCAGAAGTTTCATCTCCCATTTTCCCCTTCATTCTCCCTTAATCGTTCATCCTCGATGCTGTCACCGGTGACTATAGGTGCGCTGAAACCTCCCACCTCCGTTCATGTTGTTTGGCGCATCGACTTCCTCTTTCTTTTAGGGTAATGATTCTAAATTTTTAATTAAATAAAATTTTCTTTTAATTAATATTTATTTCTTTATTTATTATAATTTTTTTAATAAATAAAGAGTAATGATTTATATTAATTATATATATATATGAAAGTTTAAAATTTAAACTTTATTTTAATCAAATATTAGTTTATTTTTATTTATATAGAAAAGTATTAAAAGAGTTCTTACATTTTATTTTAAAAATATTATAATAATAAAAATTTGACAGGTCCTTCTTTTAACATTTTCCTAGCTAGTATTGGTTCTTGTTTTATAATTTTCTCCATCAGCTTTTTATTTGACTCGCTCCTTCTCAGTTGGTGCTGTGTGTGCAGAAGAGAGAGAGAGTGCTCAGGTATTTTTTTTTCTATTCTCTTCTTTTTCCTGATCATGTTCTGGAAGTAGAGAAGTCTAGAACTCAACCCATTTTCTCCCGTCTTCTCCTTCCTCCCCCACCATCTCCAAGTGCTGTCGACGTGTCTGTAGAGGAGGAATTCCAGCCACTGCTACATGGGCTTCAAACCACAATTTCTCCTTTTCCTCTTTCTTTGAACTTGTTTTGAGCTGCAGAAAGGGTCCGAGATCGAAACTCTTCTGTGTCCTCTCCAACCTTTGATCGTGGTTCAGACCACTGCCGACAAGTGCTTAGGCATGCTTCACCGTTGCTCAGTCTTTAATCTTCTGAACTAAGACCCGATTATTCTCCCCTGTTTTGCATCCACAACTTGCATGTGTGGCTGGTGAGAGCCTCGATATCTCCCTTTTTCTACCTGGCACTGGATTGTGTGTGTGAGCTCATTGTGAGTTTGGACTACTTAAACATTGATTTATCCCTCTCCTTAGTCCAGCCTCATTTGCTCTGCCGGTGAGTAAACCTCAACTCTCTTCCTTTCATCGTTTAGTCTCTGTTCGTGTGATTGTGTGGGTTGTTGAAATCTGGAATTTTCTTTCTTTTAATTAAGATATTGATCATGTATGATGGAGGAAGAATAGTATTGTTTCTTTAATTGAACTGATTGTTGTCTGGAAATGAAATTTGGCAAAACAAAATATGAAGAAAAGAAGATGACGATGATGCTGTAGGCTGGAGCTTTAATTGAAAACTAATTAGATTATTGATTATAATATTGATATCATAAAATTTTAGAGAGGTGAAATTAAAAAAGGAAACGAATAATATAAGGAAACGAATAATATAAATTTAATGATTATACCTATAAGATGTTCGATAAAATGTTTAATGGAAGTGTTTTGCTTGATTTTATTTGCATTTTGAAATTTTATTGGTTCTTATGAGAAATATACTTAAGTATGTGTTATTGATTTATGAATTAATTTGAACGTTGCAAAGGAAATTTAATTTTAAAATTAGTTTTTTTTGATAAATTATATGATAAGAGGTTTCAATAATACAAGTTCTTTTGAATAGATTGAAAATTAGTTATGCCTATGGGGAACTTGTGTGTAAATCTCGGAAATCTAGGTTTTAAAATTTTAAATTTATTATCATTGTATATATAGAGAAAGGAGGTATTAATGTTGGAAGAGAGTTTTTGAGTATGGTTAGAAGTTATTAAGACTTTAATATATCTATAGGAAGTTGGAAGGAGGAAAAATCGATTAATGTGGTAAGAGGAGAACATTGTACACTGAGAAACTTTAGGTAAGTGGATATCATTTCAACTAAATTTTCAACTATTTTCTTATTGAAATTTTATATTTTATATAGATTACTCTAATGATAAGGAAGTTGATTAGGGATTACTTATTTAATTAAATTTCTTCATTCTTAGTTATAAGACAATGGTGAAGAATATTTCTCTTATGGATATGCAATGTTTTGCTCTTCTGAAATATATTTTCAAGATTGATAAAAATAATTTTTCACTAACATTGACCATTTTTATTTTTTAATAAATGCAAGTTTGAGCATTGGATATGAAATTTATCCTGGCAAGTTTTGATGCTAAGAACTATTCATGCGAGTTTGATTTCAAAAATTAAAAATTATATTTTAATAGTGCTAATTTCTCACATGTTAAAAATGGATATGGAAGGGTTTTATACCAAACACTGGTACTAACGATAGTTTCGTTAGTCCTTGGCATGTCATGGTTAATGACTAGTTTCGTTTAATCCTACGTTGATTTCGTGGCTTCATGCCTCGTTGGTTAGTGTTAACCTCTAGAAGTTCATATTTTTTCATCACATTTTTTTAGATTCTAATCCATTTGATTCAATTGTATATGTTTTTATTGTCCAATTTAAAAAAATGTACATTTTATTTTGGGCTTGTGTTCTTGGCTTTAATTTACTTTTTTAGCCTAATTTCATGTTATTTTGATTGAAAGTTTTTATTAGAAGCATTTCTGGAGCTTTGTGGATGTTCTTGGAAGGCTTTTGAATGAAGAAATTAAGAGAAAAATGAGTGATCCTTATTAGTTGTAAAAAATAGTACAAAACTGTCAAAGTCATCCCAAAGTCGTGACTTTCATTCGCAACTTTCGCCGCTGTCAGAAAAACGCTGCGTTTCATTTATTAGAAATTAGTTGGCTAGAATACATATAAGATGAGAGCTCGACCCAGAACAGATTCTTTAAACTTTAAACATATTTGGAGCTTGGTTGTGCCAGGGTTTGAGCATTGGAAGAGTTGGGATCAAGAGATTGAAGCTTTGAAGATATTTGGAGCTTATTTTCTTCGGTTTTTCTATTCCTTTTCTCTTTCCTCTCTTGTAATCTAAAATGGGTTCACTTATTTTGTATATTTGTAGCTTGTGGATGATTATGAGTAGCTAAACCTTTTTGTTCTAGGATTATTTGAAACCCTTGTATGGATTAATACTATATTTCTCCTCTCTTTTTGTGATTAATGATATATAGTGTTTATTTTACTCTTTTTTTAATGCTTCTACTTGATTGCCACCATTTAGATGTTGGGTTCGCTTAATTGATGCTTGAGAGGGCTAGGTTGAGGGTAGAATTTGAGTAAAATTGTGTAAAACCTTGATATTTGCATGTTGAATGGATGGTTTGCTAGTAAGATAGAGATATACTTGCTAGCCTTGCATAGCCACATTAGGGTTGGTATTCAAAATTGAGTTTTAATTGTAACAAGAGATGGAGCAATTAATTTAACTAAATACTTGTTCATGACTTGAGAGAGCTTGCCCAAGTATTTTTAGAACCCTAAGTTAGCATTTATTTTCATTAAAAGCATTTATGAGAGGAGGTAATTTTGATGTTATAAAATGCAAGAGGGATAAATAATCTTAAATTCTAAATTGTGTTTGAAGTTTGTGAATCATTTACTTTTCTTTATTTTCTAGTGTTAGTTTTCATTTTGCAAAATTATTTCACCTAACTATGTGTAGCTCAACTTGATCAAATTTACTTAGTCTTTTATTTGATTATAGTTTTTTTAAACAAATCCTCGAGGGAACGATACTCTACTCATTTTATATTATTTATTACAACCCGTGCACTTGTGGTGAGCAATAAGTTTTTGGTGCCGTTGTCGGGAATTTGCTTTTGAAAATATTTGATCAACCTTAGACTAGTGATATTAGATTTCGCTTGAGCTTTGTAGATATTAGTTCTAGATTTTTTATTTTGTCTTTGTTTAGTGCTTTTGTTTTAGTTTGATACTTCTTGAGTTGTTTCTTCTTCAGGTACCCATTTGGCATATGCAAGCCATAGGCCCAGAAGAATTGGAAGTAATACTTGAAGGATTGACAATCTTTGAAGAAGCCAAGTCTCCTAATTCTGAAAGAACTCCTGAAACTCAATCGGGAAATATGGCAGAAGATTAGTATGACACCGCCTCAGTCAATGACTTTGCTAATCAGAATCTGAGGGGTACTCAATCTTGTATTCAAATGCCGGAGTTTTAAGCACATACTTTTGAGATCAAGCTTGTCATGATCATAATGCTTCAAATGAATGCTGTGTTTCATGGTCTATTCAATGAAGATACTAACAAGCATTTGATGTCTTTTGTGGAAGTATGTGATTCTTTCAGACAAAACAGGGTGCCTAATAATGTCTTACGCTTGCAGTTATTTCCAATTACTCTACAAGACAAGGCTAAAGAATGGTTTAATAATCTTCCGAAGGTTTATTGATTCATAGGAGGATTATGAGAACAAGTTTAGAGCTCGATTCTTCTCTGATGATAAAACGGTAGAAGCAAGAGATGACTTTCTTAGCTTTAAGAAATATCCAGATGAGCATCTCTATGTAACTTGGGAGAGATATAAGATGTTGATGAAGAAATGCCTTAATATGAGGTGGACAAATAGGTAATGATTCAGATTTTCTGTAATCGTTTGAATCCATCTTCTAAGACCATGGTTGATTCTATCACAAATGGGGGATATTAAAATGTGCCCGTTAATAAAATTTTTCACCTCTTAGATCAATTGTTTGCGAACAACACTCAAAACACGGATAGAAGGAATACATCAATGGTGACTAGTGCTAAAGATGATTCTTCTTCCCAAATTGTATCCATCTTGAATGCAATGAACAAGCATTTTGATGTGTTGGAATCTCAAATGCAAAGGAGAAATTCTCATAATGTGCATGCTATCCAAGCCATTCCAACTGTGTGCAATCAATGCAATGATATTCATATGCTCGATCAATGTCCTCTTTATATAACCACTGAGTCTGTCAACTATATGGGCAAGTTTCAAAACTCTTACAATAACCCTTACTCTTAAACATACAACTTAGGATAGAGGAATCATCCTAATTTTTCATGTATTCAAAGGAATTCTTCAAATCAACCTTCATCTTCCAATGTTAAGCTAATTCACCCTCTGGGTTTTCAAGCTCCACCAAAGCCAACGCCGGTTAAGGAAGAGGATTCTAGAATGGAAAAGATGTTAGCACAAATCTTGAATAATTAAGAGTCTGCAAGAGTTGAAACTAAGGCAACTCTTACTCTTCATGATACCGCAATTAAGAATCTTGAAGTGCAAATGGGGCAATGGGCTTCACAAATGAATGCCATGTCAAGAAGCAACCTCCTTAATGACACAATTCTAAATCCTAAAAGGGATGGTAAGGAGGAGTGTAAAACAATCACTTTGAGATGTGAGATGCAATTATCCGAAATTCTTATGCCACTTGCAAGTGGTGTAAGTAATGGTACTACTAAGGTGGTTATTGATAATAAAGTGATTAATGAAGAAATTGTGGTTGAAGAGTGTGACAACTCGAAGAATAATCAAAAAGAGAAAAAGAATGAAGATTAAGCCAAAAGGTTGGTGATGAGAAAAAGCAACAAGAGGCCAAGCCAAAATATGTGCCTCCACCACCTTTTCCTTGAAGGCTTAGAAAGCAACAAGAAGATGGCTAATTCAAAAAGTTTCTTGATATGTTCAAGCACTTGCATATCAACATTCTTTTTGTGGAAGCTTTGGAGCAAACGCCCAAATATGCTAAGTTCATGAAAGATGTGCTCTCTAAAAAGAGAAAGTTCAATGAGTTTGAGATGGTTGCTCTAACCAAGAGTTATACGAATATCATTAAGCAACTACCTCAAAAGTTGAAGGATCTCGGTAGCTTCTCAATTCCGTGTCACATTGAAAATAAATTTTTAGGTAAGGCATTATGTAATCTTGGTGCCAGTATCAATCTTATACCTCTCTCTATTTTCAATAAATTGGAGTTGGGTGAAGCTAGACCAACAACCGTGACTTTGCAATTAGCGGATAGAAGCTTGGCTTATCTACATGGTGTTATTGAAGATGTTCTTGTAAAAGTGGATAAATTCATTTTTTCGGTTGATTTCATTATCCTTGATTGTGAGGCGAATCATGATATTCCTATTATCTTAGGAAGACCATTCGTGGCAACCGCTAGAACCTTGATTGATGTTGAAAAAGGTGAGCTTACTGTAAGGGTGGATGATGAGCAAGTCACTTTTAACATGCACAAGTTGATGAAATCTTCCAATGATCTTGAACAATGCTTCTTTGTTGATATGCTTGATCAAGTTGCACAAAAGAATTCAATGAGGCAATTCCTAATGATTTTTTGGAAGCGTTGTTGCTAGGAGCTCAATTAAAGACTCAAGATGGAGAAGAGTGTATGGCTATTATGAATGCATCACCGGTTTATCCTAGAACCGTGTCCAATTTGAATCTCTAGATTTATCTTCTCTTGGTAGACCATTTTTGAAATCCTCTATTAAAGAGCCACCATCTCTTGAGTTAAAGACGTTACCTTCTCATCTTCGGTATGTCTATTTAGAAGCCAACAACACTTTGCCAGTGATTATTGCTGCAGACTTGAATGAACAACACGAAGAGCAACTTGTGGAAGTATTGAAAGCTCACAAGAGAGCTATTGGGTGAACTATTGCCGACATCAAGGGTATTAGCCCTTCAATTTGCATGCATAAGATTTTCCTTGAAGACAATCATAAAACTTCTGTGGAATATCAAAGAAGGTTGAATCCTATTATGAAGGAAGTTGTGAAAAAGAAGATCTTAAAATGGCTTGAGGCGGGTATTGTCTATCCTATCTCTGACAGCTCTTGGGTGAGCCTAGTTCAATGCGTTCCAAAAAAAAGGAGGCATGATTGTAGTGGCTAACACCCATAATGAGCTAATTCTTACCCACATTGTTACTGGATGGAGAGTATGTATGGATTACTGAAAGCTAAATGCAGCTATTATGAAAGATCAATTTCCTTTTCCCTTTATTGATCAAATGCTTGACAAATTACCTGGAAGAGAATTCTTTTGCTTTCTTGATGGGTATTCGGGCTATAACCAAATTGTTATAGCTCCAGAGGATCAAGAAAAATGACATTCACTTGTCCTTATGGAACTTTTGCTTTCAAGCGCATGCCTTTGGGGTTATGCAATGCACCGGCCACTTTTCAGAGGTGTATGATAGCAATTTCTCTGATATGATTGAGCAAACTATGAAAGTCTTCATGGATGACTTCACGGTTTTTGGAGATTCATATGAGGAGTGCTTGATCAACTTGGCCAACGTGTTGAAAAGATGTGAAGAGATCAACTTGGTCTTGAATTGGAAAAAATGCCACTTCATGGTTAAAGAAGGCATATTTCTTGGCCATAGAATCTCCAAAAATGGCTTGGAGGTAGATAGAGCCAAAATTTCAGTGATTGAGCAACTTCCCTCACCTACTAATATTAAGGGTGCGAGAAGTTTTCTTGGCCATGCGGGATTTTATTGCCGCTTCATTAAAGACTTCTCTAAAATAGTCAAGCCTCTTTGCACTCTTCTTGAGAAAGATGTTGAATTTAAATTTAATGATTCATGCTTGAAAGCATTTGAAGAGTTGAAGAAAAGACTTGTATCTACGCCTATCATGATGGCTCCTGATTGGAGTTTGCCTTTCATTGTGATGTGTGATGCTAATGACTTTGCAGTGGGTGCTATGCTCAACCAAAAGAAAGAAAAAGTGCTTCACCCAATTTACCATGCTAGCAGAACACTTGATGATGCTCAAGAAAACTACACCACGACTGAGAAAGAGCTTCTTGCAGTGGTGTTTGCTTTTACCAAGTTTAAAACATACCTTGTGGGTACTAAGGTGATAGTTTACACCGACCATTCAGCTTTGAAGTACCTATTTAGCAAGAAGGAGTCTAAAGCAAGGTTAATTCGATGGGCACTACTTCTACAAGAATTTGACTTGGAGATTATTGATAGGAAGGGTACTGAGAATCAAATGGTGGACCATCTTTCTAAGTTGAGTACTAATGCTCAACTTAAATCTAATGTTGTTATTGATGAAGCTTTTCCTGATGAGCAACTCTTTAAGGTTGACAATATTAAACACTGTAGTATGCAGACACTGTCAACTATCTTATT